CTTGGAATCAATCCTTTATTTATTTGTTTATTTATTTTTATTTCTGAGAGAGACAGACAGTGTGAGCAGGGGAGGGTCAGAGAGAGAGGGAGACACAGAATCTGAAATAGGCTCCAGGCTCTGAGCTGTCAGCACCGAGCCCGACGTGGGGCTCAAACCCACAAATCGTGAGATCATGACCTGAGCCGAAGTTGGACGCTTAACTGACTGAGCCACCCAGGCGCCCCTGAATCGATCCTTTATTACCCTTGCCTGGAAGATTCCATTATTTGTCTATGCTAGATTTAACAGAGTTTCAGTAAAATCCCAGAACGCTAAATGAGTCTATTATCTGGATAGATGAAATGCTAATTGAGCGACAGAAATATTAAAGTTTGTCCCAGGCTGGGACATTTTAGAATCTTTAAAAAGTTTTGTTTTGAGGGACGCCTGGGTGGCTCAGTCCGTTAAGCCGTCCGACTCTTGATTTCGGCTCAGGTTGTGATCTTACAGTTTGTGAGATCGAGCCCCAAGTTGGGCTCTGCGCTGAGGGCATGGAGCCTGCTTGCGGTCCTCTCTCTTCCTCTCTGTCTGCTCCTATCCTGCTTATGTACTCGCTGTCTCTTAAAATGAATAAACATTAAAAAAATGGTTTTGCTTTTGCCTTAAGGGCTGTGGGAAATATGCATGTTTGATACATGCTGGTCACAGTGGTTATAACCTATGACATGAGTGTTACCAGATTAACCTGCTTTGTCTAACGTGTGCACAGCTCAACATCTTAGTAGCAAGAGTTTTGGGGAGCTCACGTTACATTTATGCCCTGGGGTCCACTTGACCTTGATGTTTACTCTGAGCCATCTCACAATACTTTGTGGTCCCACAAGTGTAGTGGCCTGAGAGCAGAGAGCCATGACCCAGTGGGAGCGACCTGGTTGGCCCTGAGGTGGAGCAGGAGGGAAAGGACAGAGGACACCAGGGACTGCTGTCTGTGGGTACCATCAGGGGCTTCCAGAACACTTAGGGAGACAGACTCCGAGGAGGGGCTGCCAGGGGGAAATCAAGACACTGTATTTTCTCTGAAGAATTCTGCCCTTCGGATGCCTGGGTGGCTCAGTAGGTTAAGCGTCCGACTCTTGATTTCGGTTCAGGCCATGATCTCATGGCTCATGAGTTTGAGCCCTGAGTCGGGCCCTGTTCTGACAGCTAGCAGCCCGCTTGGGATCCTCTCTCTCTCTCTCTCTCTGTCTCTCTGCCCCTCCCCTGATGGTGTGCATGCTCTCACTGTCTCTCTTTCTCTCTCTCGAAATAAATAAGCTTTAAAAAAAAAACAACAAAAAAAGAACTCTGAGAGTGCGCTTCTCTTCCCACCTGATTTATCAGGGGGCAGAAGTGACTGTGGTGGCCACTGTATTCTGCTGGGTCTTCTCCTGCTTTGGGGCACATGTGACTGGCAGCCAGGCGACACCCCACGGCCCGTGGCGCCCCTCCCCAGCCCCGGCATCTGGTCCCCCCTCCCCCTCCCCAGGCATTCCAGAAGGCCGGCTCTGTAACTACAGTGAACTCTGTGTGTCACCTCCTATTGGCTCTTAAACGGCCCATTAAGAGAGAAACACCGAGTTGTTTATAGGATGAGTTAGGGCGGCCTGGGCTCAATCCTGTTCCCGAGCCCCGATCAGGCAGCTATTCCTTGGAAGCTAAATATGAGTGAAGGATGCTTTCTAGAAGCTTCCTGAAGCCCCAGTGTGACTTGTGCATTTTCTCAGAAGGCGCTCCATAGACACACAAGTGGCTGGCTCTCTTCAGGCGGCCGTCGTCCGAAAGTTCTGTCCTTGCTGAATTCTGCTTCCTCACGTGGCCTCTGGACAAGGGTGTGTGCGTGCCTCTCCCCTCCAGGGCCTGGATTTTCCGTCAGCCCCGCTCTTCCCGCGTAGCTGCCTGCCCCCTGAGCCCTGAGCAAGGGCTTCCCCTCTGCGATATGCTGCTTATTGATTACACGGCACTCGTGAAATCTCAGTTCAGCCCTTTGGTCCTTGTGATATCTGGTCGCGGGAGCGATACTTGACCATGCATAAGCCAGGCTCTAGCAGCCGCGGGCCCTAGAGACGCGAGGAGGCCCTGCTCACAGGTCGGGGTGTGGGTCTTCGTCCGCTCTGCTCAGACAGCTCTTGGTTGTTCTCAGTTCCAACAGCGAAATCATGTCCCTGCTGCTTCAGAAGCACCTGATGCTCTCCCGTCCATCTGTCCGTCCTGCTCGGGGCCCAGTGTGGGCCCTCTAAAGTCTCCGGTGTATAATGACCCCTTCCAGGCCTTCCCCAGACCCCTCTCCCTGTCGTTATTGCCTGCAAGGTACAGAGGGGGGTTGGTCTGTGGCCTTTCTTCCTGCTTCTGCCTAAATCTGTTCTCTGCACCCCCCATCTGATCAAGCCCCGCCCCCTGCCATTGCAACCACCAGGTTCCCGAGTTCTCTGCCCCTTTGACCTCCACACCTTCCTTTTGTTTTGCTCTGTCTTCTTGGGCCCTCTTGCCTGACGAGACGGAGAAGCCGAAGCCAAGGGACCCGAGGCGTTTGCATGCGGACTGGGACAGGCAGGGACAGCAAGTTCCAGAAAGGTCCGTGAGCTCATGCCCTGAGCGTGCGCCTGGAGAGGCCAGCCCGGTAGCTGCAGAAGGGTTTTGAGATCGAAGGTTCGCCGCGTCGCACTTGCGTCCTCTTGGGCGAGGTCCTGGCTTCCCCCGGGCTGCTCCTCGGCCCTTAGACTGGGTGGCAGTCGTGACCTGGGTTGTGTCCTGAGGAGTGGATGAGACGGATCTGGGCCCGGCTCTGCCGCAGAGCAGGGTGATGCCCTCCCCTCACCCACCCCGCGGGCCCCGGGTCGGGCCGTAGAGGCAGTGAAACGGCCGGGCCTGGTGCCGCGGGCCTGGAGCCCATGAGAGGAGGGCTGGGGCGACAGGGTCACAGCAGGTGTCTCCTCTGGGGCCGGAACGAGCGTGAGGTCCCGGCTTGGCCAGGGCCTTGCTGTCTTGGGCCCCGAGCCCCTTGGGCCGAGCGGGTGGTCCTTCCAGGAGCACATAAGCCTGCGAGTTAGGGGACGGGCAGAGTGCTCCAGGGGGTGAGCTGCGTTCACGCCTTGTTCACGCTGGCCGTGTTAAAAGTGACAGGGCACGGGGCGCCTGGGGGGCTCGGTCGCGTGAGTGTCCGACTTCTGCTCAGGTCATGATCTCAGAATTCGTGAGTTCGAGCCCCGTGTCGGGCTCTGTGCTGTCAGCTCAGAGCCTGGAGCCGTTTCCAGTCCTGTCTCTCTCTACCCCTGCCCTGCTCATGTGTGCTCGCTCTCTCTCTCTCTCTCTCTCTGTCTCAAAAATAAATAAACATTAAAAAAATTGTTTAAAAAAACCAAAGTGACAGAGCAGAAAATGCAGAGAAGGGAGGCGGGGCTGTTCGGTTCCAGCAGGTTACAAGTAGGAGAAGCAAACTCAGAGCAGTGTAAGCACCCGGTGGCGGGAGCAATGCAGGGGTGCTTCGTGGAGCCCCGGCCGAGTATGGGCAGGCCTTAGGAGGAACACGTGCTGAGCCACGCTGGGCTGCTCAGAGCCTGGCCTCCTTCCCCAGCCTTCCGTCTCTGCCTCCGGCCCTGGCCACCCACCCCCACATCTCTGGGCGTGCCAGGTTATACCCCTCATCGTGTGCAGTCCGGGTTCTTCAGAGAAACAGAACCATGGAGATGTGCATTTATATGTGTATGGAGGGGGCGGGGTAAGAAGTTGGCTCCCATGACTGTGTGGTTGCATGTCCAGAATCTGCAGGGTAGGGCGGGGGGCTAGGAGCCCGGGGAAGAGTTGCAGTTCGGGTCCAGAGCCAGACCCTTCCTCGGGGATTTATAGGGATTTTTTTTCTCTTAAGGACCTTCACCTGATTGGACGAGGCCCACCCACAGCCATGCAGGGCAGTCTGCTTTGTTCAGAGTCTACTGACGTAAATGTTCATCTCACCTGAAAAATACCTTCACAGAAACATCTAGTCATGTCTGACCAAATGTCTGCGTCCCAGCCAAGCTGACACATAAAATGTCACATCAAAGTGTCTATGTTTACCCCTGCTGTTCTCTGACCTTCTGTCCGGCGTTCAGGCCTTCTGTGAGGCTTCCTCAGGCTCTCAGGCCAGTTGGGGGAGCTGGAGGTCTGCAGGTGCACAGTCCGTCCGCAGGCAGCCGTGAGCCCGCCCGTGAGCCTGTCTGCGTGGCTGGGGCATTCCTGGAGCCCTTAGCTGGCCCAGGCCGCTCCTGTGTCGGGTGCTCTTTTGCACCTGGGTCTCTCTGGAATTTTGCCTCATTAGGGCTCGACGTCCAGGTCTGGCCGCCTGAGGCCGGAGCAGCAGGGCCATGCTGCACAGCATGGCTGTGTGCGGCCCGTCCAGCCTGGGGGTGCAGGCTAGAGGTGCTCCGAAGGGCGTGCAGACGCTGGAAGTGCGGCTGGACCGTGATTACCAAGGAGCCTCTGGAATATCGGCGAAAATTCATAAATGTAACACGTATGATTCCTTATGGGATTTATATTCTCAGTTGTGCTCGTCTCCCTACTCCTGATATTTTAAAATATTGTGAGGGGCACCTGGTGGCTCAGTCGTGGTTAGTTTAGCTCAGGTCATGATCTCGCAGTCCGTGGGTTCGAGCCCTGCATCGGGCTCTGTGCTGACAGCTTGGAGTCTGGAGCCTGTTTCGGATTCTGTGTCTCCCTCTGTCTCTGCCCCTCCCCCACTCATGCTCGGTCTCTCTCTCGCTCTCTCAAAAATAAACATTAAAAAAACAGTAATAAGTTAAACAAAACAAAATAAAACAAAAAATTAAAACAAAAGAAAAGAAAGCAAAATAAAATAAAACAACACAATAAAATAAAACAAAATAAGAGTGTGAGCTTTGGAAGCTGACCCCTAGGATGCCCATGTGGCTGTGACCCTCACTGCTGCTAAAGTTTTGTTCTGTTCTGTTCTGTTCTCTTCCCGCCTGGCCTTGGCTGCGCAGAGGATGACGTAGATCTGGAAGCCCTGGTGAACGATGTGAGTGCGTCCCTGGAGAGCCTGTACCCGGCGTGCGGCATGCAGTCGGACACGGCGCCCCTGCTGCAGAACGGCCAGCACGCCCGCAGCCCGCCGCCCTCAGGAGCACGGTCCCCGCAGCCGCAGGCGGCCCCGAGACTGCAGGTGCAGCGCTCGCAGCCCATGCACATCCTCGCCGTCAGGTGGGCCCCGGGGCCTTGACGGCCGCGTCCCCGAGAGTGAGGGGGGGCCATCACCCAGGCACCACGCCACTCTCTGCTGCGTACATCAGTTCCTTTCCTCTGCAGCTTGGTCCCCCGGGGTCAGACTTGGTACCCGGCTCAGTTCTGGTTACTTTTATTGAGCCGGACACTGTGGCTGGGGTCGGGGGAGGGGGTCGCCCTAAGAGAATGCTCTGGAAATGATGAAGGAATGACCAGGCAGTCAGTGGACGGCTCCAGAGCCTCACTGCCCAGAGTGGGGTGTGGGGGGATCAGAGCAGTGCTCCCTCTGGGGCTGTCAGACTGGGTGCCACCTTTGACACGTGATCACATTCCATCGGTATTCCTGGAAATAGCAGGAGGGACTTCTGGGAAGTGGGGGAGGGTTCCTCGGAAGTGGCAGATCTCGGATTTGGGCGTTGAAGGGTGAGTAGGAGTCGGTGGGCGCCGGGTGGGGAGAAGAGCTGCGCCCCTGTTGTCGCAGGGGCAAAGTTTCCTTCCTTTACGGGTGAGCGACACCGCATGGGGCGCACCACATTATTTTTATGGAGCTGCCGTCGCTGGCCCACATGGGCGCACGCGGAGTAAACAAGCCTGCCGCCGAAGGGTGGTCCCACGCGGGTGCACTTATGTGCCGAATCTAGGGTAGTCGAACTTCTAGAAGCAGAGAGTAGGAGTACCGGATGCCAGGGCCGAGGGGAGGGCATCAGGAGATGTGGGACACAGCGTTCGGAGCGTTGGTTTTACAAGACGAGCAAGTCCTGGGGACAGACATCCTGCGGCACGGAGAGCACGTGAGGGTGAGGACAGGGAGCTGTGTGCGGGAAACCCGCTGAGAGGGAGGGAGGAGCTTTGACAGGAGGAATGGGGGCGGGGGTTGGAGGTTGTGGCTGTTGATGGCAAGGCAGACTGGTGACGGACCGCACGAATGCTTATGACACCCCCGGTCATTCACGTTAAATACGCACAGCGTTGCGTGTGCCTGCTACACCTCCGCGGGGTGGCTTGAACAGAAGATGCTGCCGGCAGGTGCGGGCCAGATCCCAAAGGCGTCTCAGCCGTCGAGGGGGAGAATTTGAACAGGCAAGCGAGGAGATGGGGTTGAGGTTTTGGCAAATAATTCTGGCAGCCTGGTGTCCGGGGGTGGCGGGGTAGAGCACGGCTGACTCAGGCTGTTTCAGTGTCCAGGCTAGAGATGGTGGTGTCCTGACCCCGATGAAGAGAGGGGATGGATGGGAGTTCTCACACCTGGATTGGGGAGGGGGAGGGGCAGCGCACTCAGAGTGTCTCTAGCCCATCTCCGCCTGGGAGGTGGGTGGACCGGTGTGGCCGCCGCCCCGTCCCTGTTGGCTCTGAAGGTTTTCAGGGGAGGATGGAGCGATGGGGGTGGGTGGGTGAGGGGCCGAGGCCAGCCTCCCAGCCTCCCCACACTTTCCAGTGCGAGGCTATACGGTGCCCTCCATCTCGGGCCTCAGTCAAGCCGGGGTTCTTGGGGCTGCTGGTTCCTCAGCATTGCATCGTCTGGAGATCTCGCTTCCTTTCATTGGGTTGGGGATAGGGCAGGGTGGTCTTCTCTGCTTCCGGAAACTTCTGTGAGGCCCTTTCCAGTCTGACATCCCAGGTCTCCTGCAGCTGGGTAGCCTTCTTGCCAGGGTAGTCTGTTATGTCTGGGGGAGTTCAGAGCTGTCTGCAGGGGGGCGTAGTGGCTCCACGGCCTGTGGTCGGCCGCCCCCTGGCTGCCTGCCTCCCCCCTCCATCATCCTGGTGTTTACGCCCGGCTGCGCTTTCTCCAGCAACAGCCCTGTGCCCTCGGCCCCTGCAGAGCTCAGTCTGGAGCGAGGCGCTCTTTTCTCCCATGTGCTTGAGGTCCGGGGTCTCTCAGTCACCCGTCCCTGGAAGGGTGGGAGGCCCCTGGGAAGACGGGGCTCAGCCGCAGCAGTGACGGTGCTTGGAGCCGAGGTGGGGCAGGCGATGGTGCAGGAGGCCTGGGCCTGTTGGCCCCCCGGGGCCCTTGAGCTCAAGTTTGGGCCGAACTCAGCCCTACGCCCGGGGGCTGCCTGTGTTACATCCGATGGGGGTGCAGGGACAGGTGTGCACCCAGGGCATCTTACTTTTGGGTGCATTTAAAAAATGGGGTGACCCATATGAGATACTCAAAGATATCTTTCATAAGTGAGGCCTTGTATTGAGCACTTCCTGTGTGTGCGGAGCACTTCCTGTGTATAGTCTCTGTTGAGTCCTTGCTTATTAGCTAGTGCAGTAGCCACCACAACCCTACGAGGGGGGTGATATCATGGGTCTCATTGTCCAGGTGAGGAAACTGAGGCACCGGGGGACGTGAGAGGCCCACACCTGGTGAGTAGGGAGTCCGGACGCAAACCCAGCCGGAAGGGCCCTGAGGGGCTCAGGACGCACTGGGCATGGGGCTGCAGAGGAGACCCGCAGAGTGGGGTGTGGAGTGCAGAGCAGAAGTTGGGGAAGGCAGAGTGGGCTTCCTGGAAGAGGCTGCAGCTGAGCCGTCTGATCCTGAGGGAGCTGACAGCGGGGAAAGCAGAGGGCGTGTTCTAGCCCAGGCAGGTGGCAGACCCCAGGTCTGGCCCTTCTCGTCCCCGACCCCCCGACATCCCTGCATCCTGTCTCCCTTTCTACGCCTCGTTCCGTAATTGTGCAGGGACACAGCTCTGGAGTGGGAACGTTCTCCAACCCTGTGTCGTTTCCCTTGGTTTTGCCTTGGCCGACGCTTGTGTCCTGCTGGGAAGCCAGCGCTGGACTCTTCTTTTCCTTTTAATTTGTAAGAATAACGTATTGATGTGCAATTCACATCGCATAAAATTAATTACTTAAAGTGTCCATTTCACGGTCGCCTGGGGGGCTCAATCAGTTAAGCGCCCGACCCTTGATTTCAGCTCAGCTCATGCATGATCTCACAGTTCATGAGTTCGGGCCCCGCATCGGGCTCTGCGCTAGCAGCACAGAACCTGCTTGGGATTCTATCTCTCTCTCTCTCTCCCCCTCCACCTCTCCTTCACTCCTGCTCTCTCTCAAAAATAAATAAGCATTAAAAAAATTAAAGTGTACAATTCAGGTGTATTTACTAGACTCCCAGCCACCACGTCTATCTATTTCCGGAATGTTCCCACCATGCTAGAGGAAATGCCTACCCATTAAGTGGTGTCTCCACATTCCCCCTTCCCACATCCCCTGGCAACCACCAGTCCACACGTGCTCTGTTGCTGTGGACTTAGCTGTTCTGGCTGCTTTGTCAGCGTGTACCCTCCTTGGTCACTTGGCCTTTTTTTTTTTTTTTTAACAAAGATGTATTTTTCAAAGATGAGTTTTAGGGTCATAGCACAATGGAGATAAATGTCTAAAGGTCCCCCATATACCCCCTGCCGACACACGCACAGCCTCCTGCATTATCCACGTCCCCCACCGGGTGGCGCCTTTGTTACAGTTGATGACCCTGCGTGGACACTTGTCATCAGCCACAGTGCATGGTTTACCCGAGGGTTTGCTCGGTGTTGGACGTTGTGTGGGTTTGGACAGATGTATAACATATAATGACACTACCATGCAGAGTATTCTCGCCGTCCTAAAAACCACGGCTTGCTTGCTTGCTTGCTTGCTTGCTTTCTTTTTCTTTCATTCATTTTGAGAGAGGGCGAAAGTGAGCAACAGGCAGAAATAGAGAGAGAGGGAGGGAGAGAGAACAGAAGCGGGCTCACCTGAAGCAAGGCTCGTGCTCACCTGTTGTAGGGCTCGAACTCACAAACAGATCATGACCTGAGCCCAAGTCAGAGCTTAACCGACTGAGTCCCCCAGGCACCCCCAAAACATACGGCTTTTAAAGGTTTTCAGAACAACCCCATTAAGAGAAGCTTTTGGGGACAACTAGAGCATTAGAACACTGGCATCTTGTATAGAAGTCGAAACAGAATAAAAGTTTCGTGCTTCAGGATGGTCACCGGTCAGTGGTCGTTGGGGGCTCTCCTCCTCCTCTCGTGCTCTGTAGGGTAAGGGACAGCGTGCCAGCCGGACACCTTGGCCGTGACAGAGACTGGCGTGGCAAGAGTGGGGTTTCCTGACAGCGCACATCCACTCTCTGGCACAATGTGGGGGCTGCGGCACACCACGGCGCTGACCCCTTCCCGCCCCGGGACCGTGTGTGCCATAGGCAGGCGCATCCTGGTCCCCGCAGAATGGCTGGGCAGGCCCTCCAGCGTCAGGATCGCTTGGTAAACAGAGAGCCTCTGACGTGATCACTGCATTTCTCTAGCGGCCAGACTCCCAAGAAAGCGAATGGGTCGTTAATGTAGTCCAACTGTGAAAGGAGCCTGGAAAATTCTTGGAAGACTCCGCCTACAAGGGGCGCAGGGCTTACGTCAGCAAGGACCGGGAATGCTGGGCGGCAGCAGGGCTCAGGCCGCAGCGCAGGGTGGGCGTCTGGACACTGGGCGGTGCTGCCCTCGGAGGACTGTGTGGCCAGGCAGTGTGGCCCGGAAGCCACCGGCAGGACCCTGGGGATAGGAAACAGGGACCCTTTGCAGCCGTTTCTCCTTCGACTTGGAACTTTATTCTTCTGTTTTCATAACTGTATCTGGTCCGTCATCCTGTGGGTGTTTGGCTTTGCTGTACGACGAGTGGGTTTTGCGTTGTCGGGAGGAAATAAATGCCAACAAGCAGGCAGCCTGGTGCTTCCCCTGCAGTGATGTGGCGGAAACACGGGCGCTTGTGTCCCGGGGAGGACCGCTGTGCAAGGCCTTTATTTCCGATTCAGTACCAACAACCTTTTTTGTGTATGCAAGCCTTCATCCTGCAGCCCAGACCAGGACACGGGGAGCCTCTTCTCAGGCGTTCGGAGGAGCACTGGCTTCAAGGTCACTGAACATAGTTGTTCTCGTGGAGGCTCTCTTACCTGCAAAACCTCTTCACACATCAGTGTTCACGGAACAGAACCCATGAGGTGTTTGGACAAAACGTCTAGGATGTGTCATGTGCAGAGCATGGGGTTTTTTTGTTTTGTTTTTTAAAGTTTATTTATTTTAAGAGAGAGAGAGAGAGAGAGCTAGTGGGGGAGGGGCAGACACACGGGGACAGAGGATCTGAAGCCGGCTCCGAGCTGTCAGCACAGAGCCCAATGCGGGGCTCGAACTCACAAACCGTGAGACCATGACCTGAGTCGAAGTGGGGGGCTCAGCCGACTGAGTGCCCTCCCCCACTCCCAGGTGCCCCTTGGGGCATCAAGCATCCTCCCCGGATGTTTAATGGGTGAGGGAATCAGTGCCTTTTAAGTCTGAGAATGGCAGCCCCTGGGGGGAAAAGCAAAAAAGCAAAACCCATTGTCATGGCACAGTAAACGCAGCCGTTTTTAAGTGCACATTGCCTGGTGCATACGCTTCCATTCTAGCTCTAGAACTTGCTCATCTTGCAGAAGTGACGCTCTGTGCCCATGAAGCCATGACTCCCCATCCCCTGCCCACCAGCCGCCGGCATCTTCCCATCATGCTGGCTAGGGTTCTGGAAACCCTAGGCACCTCACAGAAGTAGGATTGCACAAGATCTGTGCTTTCGTGACCGGCTGACTTCACCCGGCACCACGTCCTCAGGAGGTACCTGGGCGTCAGAGTTCCATTCCTCGGTCAGGCTGGATAGTGTCCCCTTGGATGCATAGACCACATCTGTTTTATCCATTCGCACATCGGTGGGATGCCCCAGGGGACCGATGTGACTAGTCCCGTGGGGAACACGGATACCTGTCAGGGTCCGTCTTTAGTTTCCTTGGGGATGTCCCCAGACATGGGGCTCCTGGATCGTGTCGGCGGGTGGCAGCTTTTAACGAGCGGTTGTGTCTCTCCTCCCAGACGCCTGCAGGAAGAAGACGACCAGTTCCGAACCTCTTCTCTGCCGGCCATCCCCAACCCTTTCCCGGAGCTCTGCGGCCCCGGGAGCCCCCCGCTGCTGACCAGGGGTTCCTTACCTCCCAGCCAGGCGGCTGCGAAGCAGGTGAGCATGCAGCGCCCGGCCACCCGGCTGTGGTCAGGACCAATGCGCTGGCTCATTATTTTTAGATGAGGGGAGGGCATTTGTGGGGTCTTTTCATTCTTTTCCTCTCGCTGCTGTATTTTGCCTTATAAAGCGTTCCAATTCCTTAGGCGCAGTTCCATTTGTTATGTCAGTGACATATCTAACGTGTTTCAGAGTCTCATAAAAGCAATGGAAAAAATAGCAGTTTGGTGCTTAAAAATGAATTTTATTTAGTTCCCTTTAAAAATTCCCCCACCACGTCCTCTTCATTGGCCAGGAACTCTGGATAAACGAGGTGTTTCTCAGGCACCGGAACTTGGGTACAGTTGAAGACTTTGCATATTACGTTCCTGATCTGGAGTGTGATCTGTGCGAGGCAGAAACACGTTGACCCAGAAGATGACAGCCACCTTTAGAAACTAACCGTTTCTGCCTTGAAAGTAGGACTCTGAGCCAGATTTGCATAGCCATTGTCCTCTGGGAGGAAACCGGGACCAGAGGCTTCAGTAACTTTCCCAGAGTCACATTGGCAGCGATCGACGTGTCTGGGAACCAGGCCGGCAGCTCCATCTGTCCAGGTTGGCAGGGTCTGGGCCACACTGGGTCGCAGGTCTGGGAGGGAGACCCGGTGATGCTATAGTGGGGGGGGTGGGGGCGGTGGCAGTGGTATAACTACGATGTGACGCCAGCCTCTAACGTTCACGGAATGATCCTTATGTGCCAGGGATTGTTCTAAGCAGTTTCCATGTTTATTGATTTGTTCACTTATTCCTGGAAATACCCCTAAGAGTCAAGTGCAAATGTTCTCCATTTCACAGTTGGGAAACTAAAACCTGGCTGTAATTGTTGGTCCGGGGCAGGACCCCAGTGTGCGTGGCGGGGCAGGGCGTGACCCCCAGAGTGAGCAGTGGGACTGGGTGTGGACACACACACACACACACCCCGCCATGTGAGCGACGGGCTGGGTTTGAGCTGACACTAGGATCCTGAGCTTCTGATTTGAGCCATTGAACTCCGTGCCTCCTGGGATCTTGACTTTCTTTACGCCAAGTGTATTTCAGAAGATTCTTTGCCTTTTCTCCGAGGATCACGTTCTTTCATTCTGACTGCACTTTTCCTGCCTTTGCTGTCTTCATACGTGACAGCCACCTCCCCCTTTGCACACCCACCCACCCCGCACCTGCTGCCGCCCCCGGGGCCCGCCCTCTCAGGAGGGAGGTGTTCTGTCTAAGCTCCCATGGTCTGACCTCATGCCTCCAGGGCAGGCTGCCCTCTGCCATCGACACTCAGAAGCTGAGGTTGTGTCCCTGTCTGGGAGCCAGTGCTGGTGGGACTGCAGCTCTTTGTCACATGCCTCCAGGGCATCTGGGACGCCTGCCTCCCTGGTGACCTTATGCTTCAAATAAGGGTCTAGACAGCCTGTCTGTGGATCGGTCACCGGGGTTGTTTACAGCATTACCCGTCCTAAAATAAGACCGGGAAAATCTCATCTGGCGCTCGCGGCCATTGGCAAGAGAGCAGGCCTCCGCCCCCCCCGGGCTGTCCAACTCTGCAAGCAGAGTCCGGAAACTCAGGAATTCTGCCTGCTGTTTTGCTCGGGGTCGGAGTGTCTGCGTCTCTGTGGCTGGGCCCCTTCGGCTGGTGGCCCCTGCAGACACCGGAAAGATGCTTCACACTTTGCTCTACTTGTGAGAAGTCCACGTTCCTCGTGCTGGAACTGGCCCAGGGGGGACGCTGCCTAGCCCTCCTAGGTTCCGACCTTGGCTCTCTGGAGCTGTGTGTCATGGCACAGACGCCGAGGTCACCCAGAAGTCTGGAGATGCGGCCCAGCCTCTCGGGCCCAGACGGTGAGGGCGTTGCTGCCTACGGTCAGAGTCCGGCGTTTGGACCCCTTCTCCCCACCTGCCTGGAGGGGAAGGGATACTTGATGTTTGGCTCCTTTCACACGAAGTCAGAGGGAGATAGATCCCGTAGCCGAGTTCTTCCGAAGTTGTGTAAACAGAGGTGGCCCCGTCACACCGCCCCTTTGCCGGGCCCAGCGTGGTCAGCGTGGGGAAAGAAGAGAGCGTATTTCCCCTTTGGGCCGGTGAGGCCATCAGGAGCAGCCTCTACCTGTCTGCGAGTCAGAGGTTTGAACAGTCGTGTGGTAGGGAAGCCATTCCTGCCTGAGGCAGCGTGGCTACACTGTTCTTCCAGGATCCCGGAAGCCCGCCTTCACCTTCCTTCTCCAGGGACCAGCTGCTGGGGGCAGGAGTGTCAGGTGCAGGTCGGTGCACCCAGCTCCGGAGAGCGAGTGCCTGATGTGGGCTGGGTGCTGCCTGTTGCACGGGCGTCCTGCTCACCGTGGGGCGGGGAGACTGCGGGGTGCACAGTACTCCCGCGTGGTGCTCAGGACCCCTGTGTGGTAGGCAGTACTCGCGAGAAGTGGTGCGGGGTACACCTGCGTGGTGTGAAGTACTCTCGAGTGGTACGCAGGACCCCCGCGCGGTGCACAGTACTCCCAAGTGGTATGTGGGATCTCTGTGTGGTGCGCAGTACTCCCGCATGGTGTGGGGGATGGCTGCGTGGTGCCGAGGACCCCCGCGTGTTACTGAGGATGCCCATGTGGGGTGCAGGAGCCCTCCGTGGCGGGACCGCCTCTGTGGCTGCATGCAGGACCCTGGGACAGACAGCTAGGGGGGCGGTAGGCTGATGAGGTCAGGGACTCCTGGGGGCGTCGTTCTGTCGCCTACACAGCAGGGCTCCTTGGGAGACCTGGAAGCTGCAGGCTGGGCACCCAGCAGAGGTGGAGGAGGCAGCCGGGTTCGCCGCTCAGTGCAGGGCCCAGAGAATTCAGCAGTGGACACCATCCCCGGGGGAGAGGAGCCCTCAGCCCTGACCCTCAGGGGGCATTGCTGATCCCCCCGGGGCCCAAACTTCAGCTGTCCCCTTTGAGCCCTGCTGCCTCTGGACCCTGAGTCGAGAAAGCTCTCCAGGAGCTTCGTGTCATATCAGCAGAGTGACAAACCACTTCAGGGGAAGGTGATGGAGTTACTGGTGGCCAAGAAGGTGACAGTGATGAACCAGAAGAGGTCATTACTCTGCCAGGAAGGATCGGGAACCCTCAGCGGCCATTCAGGGGTTGCCGATGCCCCTGGTCAGGCTGTGGAGGGCCTCCCACACTGACCCTGCAGGGTTCTGCGTCTTCCTTGTGGCCAGTCCTTGCCTGAACCCACCAAAGGTCTGGGCGCTGTTGTAGACCCGCCCTGTATGAGGCGGGGCCTTCAGGAGGTAGGCAGGTTTAGATGAGGGACTGCACTGGGCCTCACCACCCCCCGCAGTGGGACCAGTGCCCCTATGGGACTGGCCAGCAGCACCAGCTCTGTCCACTACAGGTGGGGATACTGCAGTGAGAAGGTGGCCTTCTGGGGGCCCAGAAGGGGCTCCCAGCAGAACCCCACCCTGCCTGATCTCAGTCTCTAGGGAGCTGTGAGGAGTCCGTGCTGTGCGAGCCTGCAGCTGGAGCCACAGAGGCTGGAGAGTCCTGGAGTCTCTTATGAGCATCCCTCCTCCCCACCCCCAAGCCTTAAACCGTGTGGATTAGACATCATTGCATGGGGACCAGCCACTGCCAGTCACCATTCCTTCCTGCCAGCTCTGCCCCCCTGCCCCCTAGATCTGGGGCCCTGACATGCTGACTGCTGCTCCCATGTTGGCCCCCTGGCTTTCACCATCAAGAGGTGGAGCTGTGGTGCGCCCCTCCCCCGCCCACTTGCCATGCACCTCTGCATAGAAGCAGCACAGGACAGGTGACCTCGGTCCCACCCCTGCTCCATATCTGCCTAGCTGGGCGGTACTTGTCTCCACCTGCTCCCAGACCTGACCAGTGTGAGCCCCCGTACCTCTGAGTCAGCAGCCTGGAGCCTCGGAGTGGCTGGGAATGTCTCCTGCATCTGGAGCCCTCGAGCCCAGTGCATCTCCCAACCGCAGTGACAGTGACAGCTGTGCCTCCCGCCCGGGTCCTCCCGGGCTTGTGCATGGTCTAGGGGTCGTCTTAGGCTCACGCCTCTCAGGTTTTCTGCTTGTTTTGTTGCCTTACATGAATTTTAAAGCAACAACGTTTGGTTTCTTTGTTAATATCTTAAACCAGAGTCTAGTGATTTTTATTTAGCTTTATGGCTTCGCCAGTATTGAGAGCACGTGCAGACGCTAAAATGAAATCATGAAGTGTGGTTTGTGTTGGCAAAACACCCCCCTTTGCCCTGTGGTGGCTGCGGTTTTACGTGGAGACTTCCCAGTTTATTATAAGGAGCTGAGCGACTTCTTTTTTGAAGGTACGGCTTCTGTGAAGGACGCCATTCCATTGTTTTGGTAACAACAGATAATTTATCTGAATGACTTAATTAAGTTGCTTAATAACCTCTCATCCAACATTTAACCAGAAATGCAGAGACCTAAGAAAATCTTTGAGTGGTAATATTCTGTTCCCTAGAGGGTCGTGAAATTAATTCAATATCTGGAGAGCGAACGTTTGCGGAAAAATAATCAACAGGGCATTTTTAACCGCTTGGTGAATCGTTTGGAAAAGACAGGCTGTCGCGTGGATAAGGGTGATTATTACAGCAAAGATCATGAGCCATGAGACTGAGCCTCACGCTTGAATCGCTTCCAGACAGTGGCTTCAAGCTTCTGGGACGACATTGTCTTTGCTGTCGCTGTCCCGTGGACCGAGAGGACGTTTGTCCTTCTTTGTGTCTCCATAAGTCACGTGTGTCAGACGCACTAGTGTTCTCCCTCAGTCACAACTGTCTTGTGTCTGTCTGTAGTTTGGTGCAGCGTGCATTGATCTGACAGCAACTCTTGAGTACCTACTGTGTGCCTGATTCAGTGCCAGTGACGAGGGTCCAACAGAGGGTGCAGCGCCTGCCCTGTGACCTGCAGAGGCCAGGGGCATCTCCTTGAGCTTCAGCCAGAGCCCTGGAACCTGAGAGAGGGGCACA